ACTCTAATTTCAACCTCGGTCGGTGCACTCCGTTTTCAAGAATTACTCATCGAATAGATGAAAAATAGCGGGAACAGAAGTTCAGAATGATGCACTGATCGGATCGCCCCTTGCCAATGGTACAAAATTCTTAACAAACCGATTTTGAATCGGAAATTAAATACATAGTAAACGTGCAGCTCGTCTCCCCCCTTGGCAGCGCTCCTGAACACCCCATCCCATGGCCGGTACAACCCGCGGATAGTACGACACCTTCGCCTGGATCGAGGCGGCTGTAACCTCCAGGCAATGCGATAATGGGCAGGGCTGTTCATGCTGGGATTTTGGGTGTAGCCACACGTGTGGGTACATACACCGCTACAAGTTGCCGTTTGCTCGCGCACCCATTATTAGGTGGTAGCTTTCAGCTTTAGGCTCGCTGTGAGGATACTTCGCTCACTGGATTTCTTGTCAGAAGATTCTGATACTCCCTTAATATTGGATGAATCGCTCCACATATGCAAGTTCTAGCGTGGCTTATTTATACCGACCGAACGCTCCGCGCAGTGCCACGACGATTGTGATCGACATTCTCTCGGCTGTTGTCACGTCGTCTTCCTTCTTTGGGCCCCGGGAGAGGGAAAGCTCGGTCTTCTTCTCCTCGTTAACCACCGACATTTGCTTCAGAACAAGCACGGAAGAGGTGGGGAATGAATAAAGCTGGCGGTACCTCCCATTCGTTGTTCTTGTTCCTTCTGCATCTCATCTCGCTACTCTGCGTAGTGATTGTCAGGTCGACGACTGTCCTGGTCCCCAGGTCAGTAGCTACAATGGTTTGGAAAACGCTAACTTACTGAAACGGGTCCCAATTTGGCAGAGGGATAGACGGTGTTCCGTCCGGCGACAACACAACGGAGACTTCGGCTGGGCCAGTATTCAGAATGTAGGCTATGACACTAATACGAGTGGAAGTGGTCTACTCAAGCTGCCATCCATCCTTGATCGGATAGCGAATGACGTTGAACTCGCCCAGGGCGCTGAAATCAGTTCTGTAGGCACTCGACGAGATTCCTATCTGAGTTGCGGGAGGAGGCAAACTGATTCTCCGCCCTCTCTTTATACCCGAGCTCTCAGCATACGTCAACCTAGGGAGAACATGGCCTCCAAGTGAGAGGCACCGCTTTGTTGTTCGCGGCAGCTTTGTGGTCACACTATTTGTTTAGCGTCGTCATACAGATTGTGGCCAGTGTGTCCACCGCGTGAATGCGAAATTTTTGGTTGTGCGCCCGCAGAGTGCCTAATTGTACCTTGAACAATGCTTTACCATCAGGTTCATTGAAAAGCGGGACGACCTATACTTGGCGAGGAATTATCCGGCCCACATATTTTTTTGTGAGATTGCCGAGAAGCCCGAGGAAAGTTCAACAGACGATCGAGCTTTGGTAGTAAGTTACACAATATACGTAGTGGCTGCAGGATCCGTAGGCATAAATACATTCCACGGCGCCTTCACAATGTCCTCAGAAGCAGTTTATCCGCCGTGGGCGGCGCTTGGCAGCGCGTGCAGGGACTGATGATGTTTTGATGCAATGCAACAGCGGGGTGGATGGCGTACGAACAATGTAATGGTCTATTTCTTTCATCCACACGCATCCCGGTCAATTATGTTTCCATAAAAAAAGGAATTCAACCAAATCAGCGGCATCTCGGCCCGAGCTGGATTGGAAATCAATAACCGTAAATAGACCATGTGATCTTTTACGACGATCCTCGTTGACGCACCAAGCTCCGGAGGTGTGCCCTGTCGCGCTCTGCGGGTACCTCACCACCTACGTCAACTCCTGCTGGGGCCTGGGTCAAGTCGTCAGCATTAAGTCCATGCTCCCGCGCACCGACCAATGGGCCTACCGCATCCAGTACGCCCTGCAGTGGATGTGGTCCGTTCCGCTCCTCATCGGCGTCGCCCTCGCGCCCGAGTCCCCCTGGTGGCTCGTCCGCCGCGGCCGCATCGAGGACGCGAAGCGCGCGTTGTTGATGCTCACGAGTCTCGATCGCGAGACGGATTTCGATGCGGACGAGATAATTGCGATGATGAGACACACACGATGTTGGAGGAGAAGATTACGAGGGGGGCGGCATATTGGGATTGTTTCAAGGGCACGGATTTGAGGCGGACGGAGGTGCTCTTGCTTTTCCCATTGCCTCCTTCCCTTCCCTTCCGTTATTTACGCACGGTAGATCGTCTGCATGGTCTGGGTGATGCAGAACCTCGCAGGCAACTCCTTCACGGGCTACAGCGCGTGCGTCTCCCTCTTTCTCCCTCCCCCTTCCTCCTTCCATCTAACTTAATATTTTTCTTTACCAGCTACTTCCTCGAACAAGCCGGCCTCGCCCCCGCCAAGTCCTATGACTTCGCGCTTGGGCAGTACGGCATCAACATGGCCGGCATATTCGGCGCCTGGGCGCTCATAGCGCGCAGGAGAGGCGGCGGGCGCTGGCGATCCCCATCCCTTCCTTGCGAGCTCCCGGCGAGCCGATGGAACTGCGCGCCGCGGGCGATCTCTCAAACGCCGGCGGGGGAGTGTGGGGGATGCACCAGCGTATCAGGATATCGGAGCCGGTGCGGTGCGTCGTTCGTCTTTCTTAGGTTCCAGCTCTGATCATCGTCGTATGTGCGCCTCGTCACGGCCATCGTCTGCGCTATCCTGTCGCGTTTGCGCACCGCAGGCAATCCCTCGGGCGCCGGAGAAGGAGGGTGATACAAGGCATTGATATCCGAGCCATAGCGCGGTACGTCTTTCGTTCCTTCTGTTCTTTTTTGGCTCTGATCATCCTTGTATCCACAGCTCGTCTCGCATCCACGGCCATCGTGTCCGCCAACCTGTCGCCTTTGCGCACCGCAGGTAATCCTTCAACCGCGGGCGAGGGACTGAGCAGGCGATCCCTCAACGCCGACGAGGGAGGGTGATACAACGCATCGCGATATCCGAGCCATAGTGCGGTATGTCTTTCGTCCCTCTTATTCTTATTCCTTTTCGCTCCGATCCTCCTTGCATCCACAGCTCGTCTCGCATCCGCGGCTCTTGTCTCTGAAAGTGGCAGCAGCGCATCGTGATGTCAGAGCTACAATGCGGTACATCTTGCGTTTTCCCTGCCCTTCAGCTCTGATCATCCTTATATCTGCGGCCATCGTCTGCGCCATCCTATCTACCTGCTCAAGGGCGTCACCGTTCCCGTACACTAGGTGAGAGATATTTATCGCACACTGCTTTTTCCTTCGCTCATTCCGATACATTTCAGGACTGCGATACTCCATGTCGTTATCGTGCTCTCCCTGCTCCCTCTTGATGCCATTCCAATCGCATTCGCGCTGAGGGCAAACGCTGTAAACACGATCCCTGCGCGATCGCTGATTTCGCTTCCCAAGGTAGTACTGGAGCTCGCGTTATTATCCCCAGACTCAATATTAGTCCTGTCTATATCTCCAGGTAGTCGCATCCTCTGCCTCTCATATCATCGCGCTCTGAATCGCCCACCGACCCCGACCTTGCGTCTCACCGGAGATGCTTCGCTTCCCAAAAAAATACGCCGCGCCCCAGCGTTCTTCGCGCGAGGTAATGCTTCTAATTCGCCTCTAGGCGGTCGCCTGTCCGCGTCTTTCCTTCTTGCACTTACATACCACATCCATCAACTCCGACACCGACACTCAGTCTGGATCCGCGATGATGACTCTCTCACTCTTCCGTTCACCTCCGCACCCCCGCGCCCTTGGTCATCAACTTCGCGGATCTGACTTGAATTATTCCTTCCTTTATCGCTCCATCTCGGCTCAGGACCGTGCACGCGCTTCTGCTCTACGCGCTCAAGGCCGACACGCGACTCGTTCTCGCGATGGGGTTCAAGTCCCGCGTTCACCTTCGAGCGCGCCAAATCCACGGATTCATGTTCAAGTCCACGCTTGCGTCCCCAGCTCCACCAAGCCCTTGCGTGCGTCCCCAGCCCCAGCAAGTCTTTGCGTCCATCTCCCCTCGTTACCACTTTTGGTAGAACTTAATTTAAATTCTATGTACAGTATTTATTGTGGTGCGGTACTGAATTTATATCAGTGTTTATGTCCTTGCGATCCCAGGTTTCATCTCTGAGCTTGGAATCGACTTTGAAAACCTTCGCGGAGTTCGACCTCCTCTTCGAGAAGGGCGTCAGTGCGGGCACGTGCGTCGATGTGTTTGACGACGTTCACGGAGCCAGTGCGGGGAAGGGGGGTAGCGGGGAGGGGGAGGGGGAGGGGGAGGGGAGTATGGATGGGGAGGAGGGGGAGAGGAGGATTGACTAGGCGGTGGATGAACATTGTATCTTTCAAGGAGCTAACGACAAGGGTGTGTGTAGGAACGAGTTGGGCGTGTTTTGACAACGACGCGACGCGATGTGATGCGATGAATGAGATATACCTCTTTTTAAAAACTTTTTTGGTGTGGATTTGGATCTGGATTTGTTTTGGGAGATTGAGAAACAGTCGAACCCCGTAGTGGGACATCTTGCGGTTCGAATGAAGACGACGCGTGTAGCGTACACCACCGGCGCGGGCATTTTTGGGGAGTGAGGATGTGAGGATGTGGGCGTCTTGGGGGATGTCTGAGGACCTTGGGGAAAAAAGACAAACATATGGCATAATGCACCGGTGTGGGTCGAACTCGAGAAGTACCGTGGTAAATTATCGGCTCGGCATAAGTTATGTTCCGTACACCACTGGAGTTCAACCCTTTTCAAATTCGGTAGGTGCACTACCCTTTAATTTCTTGCCTTTAAAGAAAATAAAGAAAGATCATGAACTCCTTCAGGAATGCACCAGTAGGGAATCGCCGTCTCGCCTTTTAGTTAATGTCGATCCGCACGTATTATCATAAGAGCGTGTGCACGATCCAACACTGCCGCTGCCTCCCTTTAATTTGAACCTCTTTGTGCGCGGTACCTTGGCGCAGCTTTATCAGACGCTTCAGTAAAAACAGAGGGCCAAGACCACATGCACCAGCAGGGAATCGAACCCCGTCTCGCCCTTCAGGTGTTTCACGACTTTTTATGAGGTCGGCGAGTGCATCATACACCACTGGTGCTCCTTCCCTCTCGTTTGAGCAGTGGTAAGCACCATACATTCAACCAGATTTTACCAGGCGGCCCAATAAATGAAAAAAGGCAATCAAGAGTATATGCCGGCGGAATGTGTACCATATACCACCGGTGCGCTCTCCCTGTATTTTCAATCTCGTGCAAATAACGGTGAACAGAGACCCACTGGAATTCGGACAGATATACCTACCCGGTAGTCGCTCGAGATCGGAATGTGCGGGTTTCGTTTAACATTAGCTGGAAATAAATTTATCCAGTGAACCTTTGGATCTCGTCGCAGAAGGGAAAGCAGTATCAATCATTGGGAAGTTAAAACTTCTATATCCATCACGCGTTCTACGCCTTCCAAGTGGCGAGCGGGTCCGAGGTAAGCGTGGCAGGTCCACCAGCGCATCGTGATGGAATGGTTAGACTGCATCCTGAACAACCTCGCGCGGGCATTCAATCCCTCTCGCACCTCCACACGGTGGAGTTCCATTTTGACACAACTTTATTGCATTTTCACACTCCGCGGAAATTCCTGACACAAAGAACACATACACCAATGAAAAACGAGAGCCTTCCCCAGGGTACCGGGCACTTTTTTTGACTTTCGTACAGTCGTATATCCTCTCTATTTCACTTCGGCTTTTGGCTAGAGTATGATTAAGGTATGTAGATGGTGTATATAAAGTGTCTCAATTTTTTGACGCAACATTGAGGCCACATTGAAATTGCCGAGATGTGAATGACTTCTGCAGGATTTTTTACATGGGAATTTGATTGCCCGAGTGATCAAAATTCGACTCTTGATTTTCTACTGCACTCGCGTCGTCTCTATGCTCTACAAAATGCTGAGACTCTGCCTACGTATTAATTTTGTGCGCTGCTGCATTCAATTCTTGCCACAGCCTATTTCACATCTCATTTTTATTGCACTGGGGTGATGTTTTCCTACACAATGTCGTTGCGACTTTCAACCCTCGGGAATTCAACAGTTCAGTTCCAGGTGAGCACATAAGTAAAATGAAGATGAACCGAGGGAGGGCTCTGTTCACCAGCTCAGCAAATCGAGAAATCGCGCTTTGACCAGATGCCATATCTAACCTAATCAATCACAAATATAAACGTAAGCAACCTCTTCTTTCACTCTGCCACCAGGTCCCTGCGATAGAATCCATCCTGGCCACGCATCTCTACGCAAATGGTGCAGTTACCCTCAGTGGCACGCCATGTACCCTCAGTATTCCCTGGCAAAGTCTGTCTTGGACCGCAGGCGGTCACGGCCTTGCGGACCTACATCGCGCTTGCGTCAGCCCCAAAACCAGAAGAATTGTATGTGAAAAGCGGGCGGTAGGCGGGTTAAAATTCCTTAGGTACATATTTTTGCGCTTTACTAACCCGGAAAATGGGGAATGTTTACTCGCTGCGAGACGCTGCTGCAGTATGCGACGGCGCACCAGTAAACCCCAGTATTGCCACAGCTAGACCCGTCACAATTCAATTCCTCGATTCAATATCCTTTACATCACGTTTATCAAGAGAAATTGAAAATGTGTAATCTAATGAATGCCCCCATCGACTCGGGGAACACTCTTTCAGCCGTCAGAATTATTATTGGCATTTACGTTCAAGTCCAAAATAACGTCTCAGTCATCTGACCCTGGAGTCGTGTCTTTGACAACGGCATCACGACTCCGCTCTCACGCACCCACCACCACCGCTCGCCAGCGTATCACTATGTCCCAATGCTTCGGCTGTCTCTCCGCAGGTTTATCTGGAGGACATAGCACCTCGGAGTCCGTTGTACACATACCCATTCCGTTGGCCCCATCCTCGGTCTTTCCGACCGACCCGATCTCAGGTAAATCTTCGGGTCCCTAGCCCAGTCCCATATTGGTTACCTCATTCTTATACAGATAGATGCTGCACCGGGTGAAGCTGAGCCGACCACAGATTCGAAATTGAAACACGAACCCTCCAAAGGAGCGCCATATATCGGAAAGCTTAAAAGCGTGCTTCAGCTTCTGGCCAAAAACGCAGAACCCTTTGTGAATGGTACCCCTTCAAGATCCCGATCTCCGTTTTGAACGCATGTTTCGACTTGGCAAGTGTACGTTTCCAGATATACGTGTCGCTTTGCTCTCGGCCGCTCACAACGAGCTTTAGGGATGCAGCGCCAATTCCGCAGAAAATAAGATAAAGCTAATACTTACGAAGAGTTCGGTGTATCTCACCGACAAATTGATCTAGAATTCCAATCGGTTCGGTGGGTGTACCATACACCATCAATGCTCTCTCTTCTTATTTCAGCCCAGTACATTTTATTGAATTCAACTGATGACGCAATACATGGAACGATACACAGCACCAGCAGGAATCGAATCCGTCTCACCATTGAACGAGTGCACCGGGCCTTCATCAAATATGTGTGTGTGATCCATACACTTCCAGTGCTCTCTGCATCTACTCATAATGTGTTCTTGTCCCTTCTGCATCTCATCGTGCTACTCTCCGTAGTGATTGTGAGGTCAAAGTCTGTCCTGGTCCCCAGGTAAGTAGCTACAATGGTTCGGAAACGCCAACATCCTGAAACGAGTCCCAGTTTAGAAGAGGGATAGACGATGTTTCGTCTGGCCACTCAAGCGAGACTTCGGATGGGCCCATTTTCGGAAGGTCGGCTGTGAGATGAGTACGAGTGGAAGTGGTCTACTCAAGCTACCATCCGTTCTTGATCGGATAGCGAACGACGTTGAACGTGCCCAGGGCACTGAAATCAGTTCTGTAGGCACTCGAGGAGATTGCCATCTGAGTTGCGGGTAGTGTGAGGCAAACTGATTCTCCGGCCTCTTTTTATACCTCAGCTCTGAGCACACGTCACCCCTGAGGAGAACACGGCCTCCAAATGAGAGGCTCAGGGCAGCTTTGTGGTCGCACTATTTCGGGTCGTCACGCAGATTGTGGCCACAATGAGTCCATGCGTGAGTAGGAACCTTTTGTTCGTGCGCCCACAGAGTGCCTAATCGTACCTTGGACAATGCTTTACCATAGTCGCATTGAAATCTAGGACTACCTACATTCGGCGGGGAATTATCCGGGCTATCTATTTTTGTGAGATCGCCGAGAAGCCCGAGGAATTTGAAGGTTCAACCGACGATCGAGCTTTAGTCGTAGGTTACATACTATACGTCGTGGTTGCAGGATCCGGGGGCATAAATACATTCCACGGTGCTTTCCCAATGTCCTCAGAAGCAGTGTATCCGTCGTGGGCGGCGTGTGCAGTAAACCGAAAGGGAACGATGGTATTTTGATGCCATGCAACAGCGAGTTGGGTGGCGTACGAACAAAATACTAGTTTAGCTCTTTCATTCACAAGCATCCAGGTCAATCCTATCCTATCCTATCCTATACATGAAAGCACGATGAGCACAGCCTTTGACAGAAAGTCATGTGGAAATTCACATGATGTTGTCGAGATGTTGCTGCCGGCTGTCGAGATGTTGCCGCCAGGTCCCACGACTCGGAATTAGCCGTGTGCGGGCGAACCCCCGAACTCGGAATCCGCCGTGTCTGCGCGGAACTGAGAATCCACGGGGTTTGGGGCGAAGCCCCAACAAGCTGTGGACCCGCCGTAGGAACGGACCGAGCGCAGCGAGCGTCCGTGCCGAAGGCAGGGTCCTAAAGCTTGTATACAAAAAGACGTGGAACGCATCACCTGATAAATCACCTGATTTTGTCACGTTTTCTGCACGTGAGGTCTTCGGCCGAAGGCCTGCACTGCCTTTCGGACGTGTGTTTGCCTCGCGTCGCTAAGGCTCCTATTTGCAGCAAACACTACCTACACTGAGCTGCCTGCCCAATAAGGTATGAGGATTTGGTCTTTCCTTATGGACTGCCTCTCACTCCTCCTTAATAGCAGAGATAATTGTCTTTTGCCCTGTATAATAATACACTACTTCTGCTATCTGCCTGTATTCCAATAAGATCTAGCAGTGTTTTCCCCTCAGATTTCAGCCCTTCTATTCCTGTCTTTTCTGTACCTTGCCTCCAAGCCTCTGTAAGCTTCATCTTTAATGTGTTGCTCAAGTTCCTCTCTGACAATTTGCCACAGCTAATCTCCTTTCTCCCATGTGAGCCCTATTGGCCACTTTTAAGGACTGATTTAATTTTTTTTTATGGGACTCAAGGGATGAAACTCCTCCTAATACTCCACAGAGGGCTCAGATTTCTTCAAAGACAGGAGCATGAAAACCATACTCTTGAAAGCCCACACTTAATAGTAGAAATAATTTTCTTACATCCTGTAATATACTACTGCTGTGCTCTCTGTCTATATCTCAATAAGATCTAGCAGTGTTTTCCCCTCAGATCCTCTTGCCAAGCTGAAAGTTGGATGTCCAATCATGGTCCTCCAAAACTTGGACCCTACAAATGGTCTTTGCAATGAAGATCAGGCTCATTGGGGGGAACATAATCACACTACAGCATTTATCCCCTGCATCACGATTATTTCCTCTGCAGAGCAGCTTTCCTTTGCTATGAAATGACATCAATTCCCTGTTCGTCTGGCATTTTCAATGACAATAAACAAAGCCCAGGGCCAATCTGTGGACCATGTTGGCCTGGACCTGTGGACAGATGTGTTTGCTCATGGACAGCTTTACGTTGCATTCTCTAGGTGCACATCCAAGTGCTGTTCAAGCAAGACCTCAATTCTACTGTCACAAAAAAATATTGTATACCCAGAGGTGCTGCTTTAATTTGTTTGTAAGTCTTCTTATGAAGCCTTATCAATTCTCTGACTGAATGATGGACAGTATATTTATCAATGCTCAGCACAGTGTCCCCCTGTTCCTTGAGCCAACCCCAGTCCTTGAGCCGCATTTAAAAAAATGGTTTTCTATCTCATTACTTTACTTTCTGGGCTCAAATGTCTCAAAAAATCCTATTTGATGTATAGTAGCACTTCTAATAGTACATGGACATCTGGAACAAAGAAGAGCACCAA